CATGCTTGGCTAAGCAACACTAAAGTTAGACATGACTGAACAGGGGTAACCTTTACATTTACCCTAGAGAACTAGGGATGTGTCCTTTTTAAAATGGAATAACTTTAGATTTCCGGTACCCTAGAAAAAGCATGTATAATTGCAGTGCCGAGGCTTTACCAAACATAGAATGTAAATTCTCAGAAATCATTTTGAAACTCTAACCCTCACAATGTTGCCTCTGTCTTCAGACCATAACTGAAACCACCTAGATTTGGCTTTAGTTATTTCAGTTTTGTAGTAGCATTTTCCCTCCTCGCTAAACTCAATCACTGTTGAATTTCTTGATAACATGGCTAAAGATGAAATATGACCTTTGCATAGTGGCCACTCCAATCTTTTGTGGACCTGCCCTCTCCCCACTAATTACTGGGCACTTCCCTCTAGGTCCATTTTGGCTGCTTGGAAGACCAGGTTTCCACAGAGGCAGCCTCCCTTTTAATGCCTGGCCAGTATTTTTGAAACACATGAAAAGCATTATTTGAGAGTTTGTGCTAACACTGAGAAAGATGGAGTATCTGGAGATGGGAGAGTTATTATTGACTTATTAAGTGGAATAAATGCAAACAGCTTCGGAAAAAGAAAATGAAAAACTTCAAAGACCTTAATAAAGACTAAAATAAAAAAGGCCTGGGAAATTCCAAAGTCAGCTTTCAAGATTGTCTACTCTAACTTCCAATTTTTGGAATTAAAATTTGTTAAGAATGTTACTGTGCATTTTGCTTAGTACCTTATATGTCATGAAATACATATTTTCTTTCCACGCTTACTTTCATTTGCTTTCTTATTTATTAGCAGACTCTTACTCTTTTTCACTTGTTCTCACTCACTTTCATACTTAAATATGTCTTAATAGAAACATCTTATGGCAATTCTGTATGTGCTAGAAACTATAAGCACGTATAGAAGTCACTTTGTCGAAAAGCATTTTCAACATCACATTAAGTCAAAATTAGATAGTAAGTTCACTAGCGCATACAATTTTGGAATAAATTATTTGAATATATTTTGGAAGTGTATTTCCCAAAATTATCAGTATTTGAATAATTTTAAAAAAAACATAATTATTTTAAAAATTCACAGTTGATCTCTTATGTGGTTCTGTGATTGCTGCAAATTGAATATGCTATTTTCTCTGGCAGTTTGACAGAGAAGAAAATAGACAATGGAATAATGGACAGATTCCATTTGGAACATCACAAAAACACTACTGAGGTGAAAGAATATGTACAATTAACTGATAGTTACTTCAAGTACTACATTGGCTAAAGGACCATATCTGTTTTTATAGAGCATAACATTATTAAAACAAGAGTTTTCCACTGATATAATTAGCCTCAAAAATGGTGCAAATGAGCTTCTCAATATGAAATTTACTAGAGAGCTGCCTGGAACTCTTTCAGGAAACTGTTTACTTTTTAATATCAGCTTGTTTATATGTTTGTTTAACATGAAAAGTAGGATTCAGAATTGCCACAATTCTGATATGGCACAACAAATTGCAGTTATTCATGAGCAAATTCAGTGTTTTACTATAATAGTACTATAACAGTTTTCTGGGATTAAATTATCTGCTATATGCTATTTGCAACCAATCTGTAGAGATACCTTGCCAGATCCAGAAGTAGTATTTATATTCTCCCAATGTTAGTCATTTTAGCTTGCAAAGGCACATAGCGTTCAATGCAGAGTGTTTTAAAATGTAAGGAATAATTCACAATATCTTGTGCAACTCATTTATTATTAATAAGTAAATTTATTAGCATTTCAGAAAAGTAGTTTGATAATTTCCCTGTATACACAGTAGATTAAATAGTTATGAAACTATTACATGCTATGCTGATCCTAAAGGAGAGAGAGAATGAGAGCAGATAGCCCTATAGATGTCTCTTGAAACTTTTAGGCTTTCTGCCAGAACAATTTGCTTCAAAATTTCCTTGAAACAAATTGGAAATTGAATTGTTTCGGACACTTTAGTAGAAATCCATGTGGAAACAGCTGTCAACATTTTGTGTGACATAAATTTTAGCTTTTTTCAAAATACAATTTATTTTAAGCTTGCTGAGTCTACTTCAAAAAACAATAGCAATAACAACAAGGCATCATAGTATGTATACACAAATCTACCTAGAAGTACAGTCCAACCCTACTTACCCTAATTCTTGTAAGGAAAAAATCCTTCTAATGGCATTAGCCTTTTCTGTTCAAAATCACACAATCCCTATTGCAATTGTAGCTAGGTGGATCCAAGATTAAATTAACTAGGCATCACGGTGAAATCAGAAAGCAATATTATGAACAGCTGGTACTGAACAGTATAATATAAATATAAACCTGGAAAGTTTTATAGTGAAACAGGCTACCACCTGGTGACTTCTCCTTTGTTAGAAGTCTTCAAAAAGAGGTTTAATGGTAATCTATCAGAGATGTTTTAGTAGACTTCCACTAGCTAGAAAATTAATATCTAAAAATCTCTTTCAACCTTATGGTTCTATGATAGCCTGGAACCGAGCCCAAAGTGTAGCTGTAGTTGGACTTCAGAAAGTTGCATTGTGTGCTGTTAACCACACATAGCTCCTTATTTCTGAGTCCCTGGATGGGCATTTCTCCACCATTTGATTGCTTGGATTTGTACCTCTTCATATGCTAAAGTTTTCTAGATGGAGGACATGGCTGAAAGTTTTTTAAGATTTTGTGTTGCTTCAGGAGGTCCCAAAGAGTGCCAGAAAGTTGTGTTGGGAAGGGGAGTTCTTGAAACTCCCTGCATAATAGATTCTATTCCTAGCTCACAAGTTCCCAAAAGTTCCTGTTGCATAACCCCAACATTTGGGTTCTGAGCTTTAAAAAGTGAATTTCACCCATTGTGTTTCTATACTTGGATACATAATTGTATGATATTTCAAATTATATGGTGCACATGTTTCCTAAGAAACTAAGCCTTCATCATAATTCATGCTTCTTCCTTTGTTGTAGTATATCTGTTGAAAAACATCCTCAAGCAGACATATAGCAAGAATGCAGAAGTGTTTTTAAAATTTGTTTTCCAATTTGAGCTAAAGGAAAGTCATTTGCTACATCACAATGATTCTTAATATATTTAAATTATCTTCAGACGTTCTAAAAAGAGCTACAGCAAAGAATGTGCAGGACCCTTGAACTTTCTCAAACCTTCCTTCAGAATTAGAGATGGTTTTTAACAGGTTTATGACTTTTTGCATGCGCTGTTTTCACTTTCATATCTATGGAATAGTCTTTACAAGTTTGTGTTTTATTTCACAGAGAGATTACAAAACTTTAAAACTCATAAAATACTATAATTAGTTTTAATAAAAAAAAACTAAAATTCAAAAATATTGAAACAATTATTATTTTTTTTGCAAATGTACAAGAGTTCAGCTAAGTACCAATTAGAATAAAAATCCTATAGACATTTTTGTTATCTAGCTTGCTTTTTATAATTTTCAAAAAAGATTCAACACTGAATAAGGACTTATCTCTCTGTTCCCAAATTAAGATGTAACACTGAAAAAAACCCTATCTCTTAGCACCCATTATACAGTAACTGATATAGGTAGTGACTACCCAGCTTCCATAGGAGAACTAAGATAATGTAAACATTAGTGTGTTGGACTAACCTAGGACATTTTCAATGTAAGCTGCCTTGAGATTCCAAAAGAAATGGAGAAAATATACATGTACTAACAAATAAAGGCATATTCTAGTCGAGGGTTTTTCAAACTCAAGGCCTGGAGGCCAGATCTGGCCTGTGGGGTAGTTACATCTGGCCCATGGGCCTGCCCTGGAAACTATAAAGGACTAGCCTATGGTGCCTCTGCCAGTGAAAAGGAAGCTCGGGAAGGCTGCGCACGCCCCTCCCAGGCTCCATTTTTGGCCGTGATGGCCTCCTGCAGCCCTCTGCCATCTTTGGCCATACATGACCTCCCCAATCTCTCTTTTTTTCACTGGCAGAGAGTTGCAGGAGCCTGTCACAGCAAAAAATAAAACCCGGGAGGTCTGGCATGGCCTAGAATGGAGTCTCGATGAGTGACATCAAGATGGCCATGCCCACCTTGGCCATGTCCCCACAGTCCCCTCTGAGGTCAAAGACAACCCTTATGTGGCCCTCGATGAAATTGAGTTTGATACCCCTGTTCTAATCAGTTCATTTTGGACCAACTGTGCTTCCTGAACCATTTTTCAGATAAAATGGTTAAGCCTAGCAGAGTCTGATTTGATAGTGGTGATGATAATTACAGATATCTTATTTTTATTCATCTAACCCAGAAAAAGTATAGCTCAGAAACAATAATATAATATGCAATATCAATAATGATCAATATAAAGTAGATAATACTTTAAAATAGGCAAATCACAGTAAAATCAATCCGTAAAACTGAAACGAAAATCATGTCTGGTGAATAAGACTCAGAGTCACTGCTTAGTAGTATCCTGATCATGAAAGTATACTGCTCAAGAACTAAGTAGTGTTTATTACAAATGGGGGATATGTATAGAGAGTAAAAGCTATACCTGCAACTAGTTACAGTGAATGCCTATTTTCTGTATTGTACTACAACCTGCAAAAGTGCATTCATCAGCCAAAAGCCTAACAGGTTCTTCAGAATGTACCAAAGAATGGAAGTGCCATGTGATCACAAGTTCCTATGATTGGCTATTTTGAACTTACTATCATTGGAACATGGTAGCTGCTTACAGAAGCAGTTATTTTCTCCACAATATTATCATGTTAGCATGTACTGAAGAGACGGTGTCAAGTAGTTTCCACATGATGCTTTTCTTAGGCTTTGTTCCAGATCAAACAGTGTAATAGCGTTGTTGTTTTTTCTAACCACAATTTATAAAACATTTGATCTAAATACAGAATAGTATCTTGTATGAATATCTTGTACCTCTATATTACTCTCGTCTTTTGTTTCCCTTTTTTATTATTGCTACTATAGGCTGTACCACCACCTAACTTTGAGATGCCAGTTTCTATCCCAGTGTCCAACCACAACAGCTTGGTATACAGCAACCCAGTTAGCTCATTGGGTAACCCCAACCTTTTGCCTCTGGCCCACCCTTCCTTACAGCGGAATAGCATGTCTCCTGGGGTGACACATAGACCACCAAGTGCAGGTAACACAGGTAAGTTTTGCATCAAAGAGTTCCATCTCTTTGCTTCAAGTATATTTCTATAGCTACAGATTGTTACTTGCAAAGCAAGAGTATATCAGGGTTCTTCAAGTCTATTGACTACTTGACAATATGAAAGACACACATTTTTTGAAAAACAAAAAATCAAATCTACCATAGAATCTTGTCCAGCCTTTTCAAAAATTTAGCAACCCTAGTATACTTATAGGAGCACCAAGTTCTTGGTAGACACATATCTTTTGATCACTTTTGTAGAGTAGGATTTCTTTGTGTGGCATATGTTTATTCTCTGAATGTATATGTATGTGGATTTTATTGGTGGCTAAGATGTATCCTGCCATGGGTTCTTCAGTTGTGGAAAGATTGACCCCACAATCCATATCCAGAGTAATGTTGGCAGAATTCTTTTTAAGATTCCAACTCTTCTCTCTCATTGCCTTTAAAGCGATAATAGCCCCTTACCCTAAAATGCTGGGCTTTCCAAAGGTAATCCAAACTTAGTATTTACAACTAAATAAGATAAGTTTTAAAAGGCTCCAAATACTGTAGAAACCAGAAGTAGGTAACACAAGAAGACTATATTTGAAATATAAAGTTAATGGATTTAATCTCCTGGACACTATTATGCAAGCCCAGATGAAAAGCATATATGTTCAGGAGTAAAGTAGCAGAAAAATTTCCAGCAGGCCACATCTTCAGATTTCTGCTCTTAATCCATTTTCTCTTTTGTTAAATCTGTTAAAACTGTCTTAGAAAGTGAGGTTGTACGTTTTTACTCTAGTCATAAAATGCAAACAACCTACTTTAATAATATTAAAAGCTAGGGAAGGAAGTTGGAAACAGAACTAAAGAGATAATATAGGTCATTTGAATCTGGAGGCAAGTGACCAAATGCAGCTTCTGAAATAATGTGCTTTATCATTATACACTCAGACACACACACATTTCCATCTCAAGGCTGTATTTATTTATGTGTTGCATTTATACCCCACCTCAATCCCACAGAACTCTTGACAGCTTTGCAGAAAGCAAAAATCATTAAAGCATTTGTGGTCCAATTAACATCATATAAACCCTAACAGTAACCTAACAGTAAGAAAATCCCCAAAACAGTACCAAATGTCCTCTGGAGGAACTCCATCTATGTTCCAGTGGAAGGTGACTCCAGAGGCTGGTGTCGATACAAAAAGGCAGCATTCCTGCACTTCATCTCCCCTCAATTCCCCAAAGCAGGGAATCACCTGGTGCTTTCTCCAGAAAGATTGAACAGGACAAACTGATTCTAATAGATGAACATGGTCCTGACAGTAGCTTGGTGCCAAATCATAGAAGGCTTTTATAGAGCTTGCCCACATGGCATCAAGATTCAAAATAATCTAAATAACTTCACTGGCCAAATGCTGTGTTCACTTAACACAGTGGCTGGGGCGAGAAATTCATTTTAAGCAGAAATTAAGCTACTGTTCCTCCAATGTGTCTGCAATTCTCAGAATTTCCAATCAGGGTGGAAGGGACAAGTCTTTCCAACATGTTTTAGCAGGGGTGGGTTTCTACCAGTTCTGTCCACCTCTGTAGAACCGGTAGCTCTGAAGAGCAGCAGACAAAGAACCGGTTCTATGCCTGCTGATGTTTTTGCCCACCCACCTACACAGGCTCTTACCTGATCTTTATTTCCTGATTTTTCAACTTCAGCTGCTGAACGAGGCACAGCTGCAGTTAGAAAAGCAGGAAAAGAGGGCTGTTTCAAAGGCTGCTTCTCTGCAGGCAGCTGCTGATGCCGATTTACAGGCGTGCAGCTCGCATCCTGCAGGGAAGCTCGTAAATCCCGAACCGGTAGTTAACCCTGTCGTATTCCACCCCTGCGTTTGAGGGTCACGAAGTTGGAAAATGGAATGGAAAAAAAGTCTGTGAAATATTAATGGCTGTATACAATGTCATCGCAGAAGTGGACAATTATTATAATACTTCATTAGTTGACAATGTATTATAATAGTTTATTCACTATACATTCATTCAGCATTGTCCTGAGCTATTAGCCACTGAAGGTACTAAATAATGCTTATGCTTTGAAGGAGGAATTAGATCGTTTTGTACATAGACGGGAGTCAGGGTGGCTCAAACAGCCTGATCTTTATGAAAATTCTGTGGTGCAAACTCCTCTAGGGCTCACATTACTTTGAGGAATAAACTGTAATTGCTGCTTGACCTTTGTGGTTTCTTCAGCTCCTCACTCAGTTTGACTATTTTATTTGTCCTCTCCTAGGTGGCCTGATGGGTGGGGACCTCACAACCGGTGCAGGCACCAGTGCAGGTAAACAGAAGGATGTTTTATGTACCTTAATAAAATGGTTACAGACTCCACAACAGAGAGTTAGCATGAGGCCAGTCCTAAAATAACTCTATATAGTGTTATTAAGACCAGAATTAGGTTATTCCTTGAAAATCCTATCCACAAGCACCTTCTTAATGTTGAGATTTCCCAATTTCCTTACATTTAAGCAGTCTATTTTAAGGGAAATCTTTTTATGTGTGGTTATGCAGATTCTTATAAGGAAGTACACCAGATAAATAAAAGAGCTGATTTAAAACTTTTCTTGTAAATTGTCACATGCATGTCAATGTGTAGAAGTTTTGGGTGTTATAGCAGCAAATGCTTCAGAAATTTTTAACAAGTGGATCATTCTCTTTCCATTTTATATATAAGAGCATAATGGTTCTACTTTATACTTTTATCCTATCTTGGCTTTCTGTCTTAAGTCAAGGATACAAAAACAGTATTTAATGTACATAAATGATTCTTTGGGAAAATATAACCTTAGAGAACAAAGCATGCACACTTAACAAAAAAAATTTTCCTAAGTCATCTGCCTAAACAAAAAAAGGTAGATCTAAATCTACCTTTTGGGCTTGACAATGTAAACTATTTTATATCTTATATCTTATATTTTATATCTTACATACTACTGCCAATTTTTGTTTTAGTGCCATTTTTCATATGATACAAACAGTTCCAAACGTTTCTTATCTTCCCTTCCTACTAAGGAAAAGGATTTTAGCTCAGTAGTGATTTGCCACAATAACCACTGACTAAAAGATGTTTTTAAAAATGTTTTAGTTTATTACCAAGATTAACACTCTCATTCAAGTGAAAGAAAATCTTCTCTGTCTACTGATATAATTGCTCCCATATTTGACTTTCTGAAAGGAAAATCTTAAGTACTGCGACTGTTGTTTTGGGCTTGACAATGTAAAATATTTTATATCTTATAGACTTTAGCATGCTGCTTTAAAATGGGTTTATTTCTGTGGCCATAACATGTGCATTACCGCAATTTACAATCGTCCTTATTAGTGTCTCCCACTGTTATAAAACTTGGAAAATGTTACTTATCTTGATTCTAGAATTCTAGTTATTCCAAGCCTGTTTTATTTTGGGATTATCTGTTCAAGATTCTTGACTTTTTTTTCCATTATAAGATTTTGAATGGAATTTGATTGACTGCTAATGAGTGCCCTCTTCTGGCTTCTTAAAGCAAAGCTATTCCCATTTCCCCACCCACACAAAGTTTTAGAACAATGTAAATTTCAATGCCTGAGAAATGAGTGCTTCTTAAATGCAAAGCCCCCACAAATATCACTCATTTTACCAGAAAGAAACTTGGTAACTTGATAGGATTAAATGGTTTGAAAATGTGACTGCTTTCTTTTTGAAAATATATATTGTAACATATTGCTTGGAAGTATAATAAAAGATTTTTAAAAATTTGCTGTAGATGAGTATTGGTTAAATAAAAAATGTAATTGTGTACAGAACTCTGGTTCCTTTGGTGTCAAATTAGAGTTTAGACCTCACTGCAGATGTGCATTCCTTCTGTCTTAAATGTGGAGTAATAAGAGTTTTGCTGTAGGGCAGAACAAGATGAGAGGTCATTATAAGGTTGAGATGTCTGCCAGAGTGCCATAATTTAACAGTACTTCTATTTTGGAGAATCGTCTTTCTCCATCTTAAATATCAAAAGTTCTTTGTTTAACACTTTTTCATGAGGAACAGAGGCCCATGTGTCTTTTCCTGTTGCCATGTTCGAGACTAATACGATGATACTGCTGTTGAAGTTGTGAGGGTACACATTCTTTGTCAAATTAGAATTTTAATGCACTTGCATTTTCCTGTTGCATCTAAAAATAGTCAGCTTGCAACAAAGGACCAGAAATTGTAGATTTTGGAGATTTGCTGTAGTAATTATAAAGTGAACATACTTTTAATTGCTAATTGTGAAGCCATAAATTTATTCATTACTTTAACAGATTACTGTATAGCGAGATGTTGGGAATAAGAGAGGAAGGATTTCTTCTTAGGTCAGATACATACATGTCTTATTGGCCAGTTTGGATCATTTTGAATAATAATTCTAAAATCATCCATCTTTGAGTGTCTACCCAAGGCAAAAATAGAACTTGGGAATACTGACTACTTTTTATTATCCCACACAATTAAATACCAGAAGAGGTATTTTTAACTAAAACCAAGGCTATCTTGGGTTTGCTAGACTAAATTTGTTCAAAGGTACTCTCCAATTGGATTGCTTATGCCATGTGACAGTCAGAGTTGCCAACAGAATGAAAGAGAACTTCCTATTTAGTGTAGAGTTGCTAAGTTATAAATATAGCCATGGGTTTGGCAACTTTCTTTTAAACCAAAAGCTTGTGTGAAGGGAAAGAATAAGATACTCTTGACCTTAAGCCAATATGCCCTTGAGCCAAACAGACTTACAGTTACATCCTTCATCCGTGCACACAGAAAAATATATTAGGCATCTAACCTGTAGAAGATACAGGCCTTTTTTTTTAAAGCATCAAACATTGAAAGTAAATATATTTTAAATAAGGCAATAAAATAAAAAGCAAATAAGTTTGCAGTATGTTTTGAATTCAGATTGTAATCATGATCATAGCAAATATTAGTATTGGAAGTCAGAGAAAATATTAAAAAATCTTATGAATATTTTCAGAGTGCTGACTATTATTTATCTTTACATTTCATTCATTTGTCTTCTTATGGCCTTTTTAAATAAATGCCCTGAACTTTATTGTAAATTTCCAAATAGCTATTTTATACCTGTTTGGAGACTTGATCTGTTGTATTCTCTCCATCTGAGAATTGCGCTTGTAAAGCAGTTTGGGAAGGATAACATTGGAAACGATGTTGATAACTAATGTGGGGCTAACTGCCAACATGAGAATGAATAGGATTGCAATTTCCTATTCAATAGGATTGCAATTTCCAATTTGGTTGTAGATATATGTGTATACCTGTATCAACTGATAGCATAAACATTGACCGCTGCAATTTGTCTACCCTGTGCCAGCTATGTTTTACTATATTTTAGTCAGGAGGCATTCTAGATCTATTTTTTGTTGTTTCAAAAAAAAAAACACCTTTTGGTATAACTTTTGGTATAAAAAACCAGAGGTTTGGTATAATGTTTAACTGCAGGATTTTCTTCATTACTGCTGGTTTAATCCATTTTTCCACCAATTATGTTTGTGTGTTTGCCTTCAAGTTAGTCTTGACTTCTGGACAAGTCCCTTCAAATTTGGGGGGCAAGATTTCAGAATTTGCTTGCCATTGCCTTCTTCCTAGGGCTGAGACAGAGTGACTGGCCAAGATTCCCAAGCTGGCTTTGTGGGACTAGAACTCACAGTCTCCCAGTTTCTAGCCAATGCCTTAACCACTACACAAAATTATTTATTTATTTATAAAATTTATAGGCTGCCCATTTTATCTCAAGGTAACTATAGGGAATGAAATTAAATTACAGGGAATGAAATTAAATTGTTCGAGGCATTCTAGAGTTATGCTGGAACACACACACACACACACACACACATTTTTATATATATATAGATATAGATGTTACTTTTCAAATCATCCTTTTAAAATTATTTTGCCACCCATCTCAAAATTAAAGTTACCAAGTAAACATGCAAAATGCATGTAATGGAGAGCCTGACTACAGCTGTCATGTTTTGAGTTTGGGTTTTCCTAGAAGCAAAAAAAAAAAAAATTACCACACAGTAATCATATCCCATGCCAGTGGTACACTACTCTGTTTCTACAGAATTATGAAAATCTATGTTCAGTGGCAGAATTAAATACTTTATATGCAGAGAATCCCAGGTTCAGTTTCTTGGGAACTTCAGGTAACATTCACAATGTCACTTGTCTTTATTCTTGGAAGGCCTTTCCTGCCAATCAGCATTAAGGCACCATTGGACAAAGTCACGTTTTGGCTAAAGACAAGGCATGTTGCTAGGCTTAAAGGCAGGGTTAAAAATATGTTACTGTAAAACATGTTTTCCGGTGTTACAGAAGTGAAGATTACAGAGTTTAGAATTCAAATTTAAAAGGAGGGAAGGATAACAGCTTCTGGTGAAAGCAAGCATTGCTACGTGAAATATATGTCTCTTGTATAAGCACTGCTGCCAGGTAAGGAAATGTTCTTCCATTGCAACATCATCTGGAATGTGTCAATGGATAGAAAGACCTGAAGTCTTTTGGAATGTGCAGTTCATTGTGACGATAATTTTCAAATTTGGCCAACTTGAACTTTGAGTCTTTCTGCAAGATTATATCATGCTTACATTACACCATTTGTTCTGCTGCTTTTGGTCACATGTGGACTGCATGTTAATTTATTATACATATTCTTCTAGCTTTTCAAACTAAATAGAAATGTAGGTAATAGCTATTTATAATTTATGGGTCTCTTGGTCAAAGGAATTCTGGGCATGCTTTCAAAATAATACAGCCAAAGGAAAAATTTGCAAAGCAAAAAGAAGGCAGCATGCCCAAATAAGCCTATCCCAAACAACCAGAGTATGAAGCAATCAGTAGTAAGTCTTTGAACAAATCCTAAAATAATACAGGCAGCCCAAACTCATAAATATCAATGGAATGTACATCTCTGTACATTGGCAATGGCCAAACAAAACAAATTTCCACTTAAAAAAACACCTTAGGTGACTTAACATCTTTTTGCTGCCAATTAACACTTCTTTAGCTCCAGGGACATGTAATACACAATACAAAATAAGTTCTTGTGTATTCATAAAGTTTAGTGGATACACCAGAAGCAAGATATGTTGTTGCAAATAGTGAAGCAATCCATTAAGTAACAGAAACATAGTCCAAAGTCTGGGAACATTACTTTTTATTAAGGAGGATCATATAAACACATTATCTTAAGGAGATGCAACACCCACTCAGCCTCAGGCTTAGAAGAAATCTGCTAGGATTGGATGGTGCCAAAG